TTTAGTTCAAAAAATAATTATTAGGTAAGTTATTTCTGTACTATATCATATGCTCTCTTGTGTTTTTTTCACAAGGTCAAATTTGCCAAACATGTATACTATATTCTACAGACTTGGCGCCCCTCTTTTGGAGGATTCTTCTATTAATTAATTAGTAACAATACTATAAAGATTACAAAGTACATGTACATAACTGAACTTTCAAGTGAGAATTATTGTAATCAATAATTTCAATTTTATTTTTCGTAGTATTTATCTTTGTAACTAATATGAGACATATTTATGTAGATTACCCTGCATAATTTAGATACATGGCAGTTTTAAAAGCAAGCTAAGCTAGGTTTAGACAGCTTATGGCTAGCTAGATGTCAAGGTACACTTGAACTGTACAGTAAATTTGAACAGTGAATATTCTGACTTTTAAAATTGTAATATTTATCGAAAATACAAAGCTAGCTGTGAGCAAGCTTAGAATTTTTTGTAATTTATGCTTGTACATGTACCAACTGATTTTTGCAAAATTTAAAAATTATTTCTACAAGTCATTCAAACATCTGGCAGTAAACATGACCACATTCAGATGCTACTTGTATCAATCAACCCATCGTCGAGTTTCTACATATTGACAAGGAATAAAATACTAGTACAGGGGTCTGCCTAGAAAAAAAACTGCAAGAGAGAACACTGCAATTCAGTGGTGCCACCAAGTGGGGGAGATAGGGTTCTCCCTACCAGGGTGTGGAGATTTTGATAATTCTAAGTTAAAATGGAGCCTTCTATGGCTTCCTTGGGGCCAAAATTACTATCAGACAGGTCACAGTTGAAGATTGTGGCCACATGTGATCCCTGGTCAATCAAAATGTTATGGTTGCCAGAGGATCTGCTCCCAAGGGTAAGGGGGCGCCTGCGCCCCTGCTCCCTTGTTTAAAAAAATCCCTGCTAGTATATTTGAGTCTGTTTCCATGATTTTTCAGTTTGAAATGGCCATCATCTTTAATACTACCGTATTACCCCGGGCACGCACCCCTCCCTGGGCAAGCGCCCACCCCCCTGTTTTCACAAAAGTTACATGTTGGGAACATCATCGGTTAAACGCCCAGGGTGATTTTTAGCCAAGAATGGGGTCAACAATAAAGTTTTATTTGTCAAAAACGAACGCGTTTGATTTATTTAAATAGTGTGTTTGTTACGGTAGTTCTCTTTTTGGAGTGTGTGGTGGCCCTGAAAAGGGCCGTTTTATTTGTGTTTTTACGTAAAAACTCATTGGAACTTAACGACGTAAGATGAACCACGCAGCATGTTGGCGCACACGTTCCGCTTTCTCTTCATTCGCGATGAATCCAAAATTGCAATAATCCATACTTTGGTGAGTGGTTTGAAGCACTTAGCTCTGGTTTCAAAACGTAGCACTTCGCTGACTGAATCCATAACGAAAGAGCATCATCGCCAGGCGATGGACGCGGGGCTTTTTGGCAACGACCGCAAACGTATCCGTGTCCAGCCATTGCTTGGCCACGTAGAGGTCAAAATACGCGTTCTATTTTTACGCGTTAAGTTTGGCTCTTCCGTTTCACCCCCTCC